CGAGTTTGGACCCCAATGATAGGCGCCATAGTCGTTTGAATCACCACGCACTTCGCCGCGCAATTTGCCGCGCCTATCCTCGGACGCACGTAAGTACCCATACCCGTCACATGGTATCTGTGACAGCTGTTCCCAAGGCACACTTTAGTTTTACCGTAGTGTTACAAAATCCAGCAGTGCACTTACCAAGCATAATTATTACACTTCCAAGAAGTATTATAATAGCATACATTTGCCATGACAGTTTAACAATGTGTGGGGCAAGAAATATATCTTTCTGGCCGATTGGGCGAGTAATCATCCGAGGGGAAAGTTCGCGAACGAGCACCCGGCGCGGCGACGTCGCGCGGCGCTTCGCGGCTGCTTCGTCATCTCGCGCACGGTGATGACGCGTTGTGAGGCTCGTTTTCAGTCGATTTGTCATTACTTCCTATTTCATTCTTTTGCTCTATATAGTTTTCACTTTTCTCTTGCTCTTTTGTTTGAATAGAGAATCAGACATGTAATATCTTCTTTTTTTTGTTTCGAGCTTGAGCGTTGCCACTATAATGCAAAGCAATTCTTAGAAATGGCCACCGAGACGCGGACTCTAATGTGTCTCAATTGCCAGAAGAAAATGAATGTGGAAGTGAAAATCAGTAAAGATAAAAAGGTAGATTTAAAAGCTACTCTTCATTCAAATGCATCTTTATGAAATTGTTCCAGTTTGATATGCTTGTTTGTTTGATTGTTTTTTTTCTCATAGCGGCTCACATTACAGAACTAACTAACATTTCTCTTGGTTTCGATTTTTCCCTCTAATACACTTTTAAATCGAATTTCCTTATGCGTCCAGCTGTTGAATTGCGCGTCACCAGACTGAATCGCTTACCTTCGGGTTGTGTGGTATCAATCTCATTTGGAACCCTGTCAAAGGTTCCGTGTAGAAGTGGGTTGCGTTCCAGTTCTTATCAGCCATGATATTTAGTGCCCTAGAGAGTGTATAAGTTGTAGTCTCCAGGAAGTGAGCAGATCTTAACCTTCTAAACAAGAATGAGCTAGGATCTCTACTTACATGTTTCTATATGCTATTACCTGAAAACTGAGGCAATACAGCACTTCTTCGTCACCTCTTCTTTGACTGACAAAGCCACACTTTTTTATCGGAACAAATTACTTTTCTTTGATCTGCGTTGAAATGACCGTTACAGCCTTTAGAGACGGATCCGACGGGCTTTACTGCTGGGCAATCGTGCAGTCTCATGAATCTGATTTGCGATGCGGAAGTTCCATCCGATGCTCCAGTATGCAAGGTTGGTTTCTATTCAGAGTTAATCTGCTATTCCCACAGGATTGCCTTATGTGATGATTTCGCGACCGCACCACTTACTTGATATATCGCCCTCCTGAAGCGAAGCTTGTAGGCTGTATGGTTTTTTTATTTTTGTTATATTCCTCATCCCGTAGAGGGCGGTATCTTCTTAAGCCTTTAAAAAATTAATTTTGTGAAACATTATTCAAGCTGATCTTTTCTTTCGAGCTGTTACATTTGCCAGTTATTTAGCTTTCTTTTTTCTTTTATTCGCACACCTCACCCTTTAATGAAGCTCCTCACTCGTTAAATTGTTTTAGAACTTTTTTAAAACTAACGGTAACCTCACAGACGGTGGCGCGAACATTAAGTCAAAACCAACGATTTGAAAACTTGTAAAAAAGTAATGCTTTGTGGGCCTGAGTGTTTTTATTCCCTTCTTCATTCGTTTACATGGACGGCGCGGAGTTTTGATGACCAGCTTCTGCGTTTTGTTCCTGTTGACGACTTCTTCTCGTCCCTTCAACTTGAAGACATTTTATTGAAGACATTCAGCAATTTGTGATTTCTAAATGTTCAGGAATGTTCCGACCAGTTGTTGGTTGATATGGATCAACAGCTGAAACTTCTTGAAGATGATTGCGCAGCATACCGTCAACTTATTGATTACCTCAAGGAGAAGCACTCGAATGCTGACATCGCCTCATATAAGCAAACATTACGGAACCTTAAGGTTTGTTCACCTTCATCGTTACTTTTCTTCTGTTTCATTACCTGAATACGTGATTGCGACCTGTTTTCTTTATCTCCATAACGCTACAATTACATTACTTCATTTTAAGCGGTGAACTGGTGGTTTCGCATAGCATTCAGAAGTAATGACTGTTCATAAACGTTGCAACGAGGTCTTCAAAACAGCTAAGATACACAGGGTGAAATGCTAACCTCGGGAAAGAGGGGTAGAGTTGGAAGGAAATTATAAGGAATAGTTCTAGTACACAAAACATTGTGATCGAAATACGAATGAACCCAGTATCTCCCACATTTTCATATTAAACATAGGATAAAGCTAATTGACCTTATTCCTCTGTCTAATTTTCCTATGCAGGCCTAGTTTTTGTAGACGTTTTGTAATATGTTCATCGCATTTTTCATACGCTGCAGGCTGAAGAAAGTGCACTCAAAGCTCAGTTCGATCAGCTATGTACAGAAGAAGCTCGCCTGGATGCCGAGTTAATGGAAAAGAAAGCGGCATTGGAAGAAAAGACAGAAGAAGAAGCAAGCCGATGGCGACAATTCAGAGATAATCACAGGTAAATGTGCTGTAAGCCATTTTCTGTGGCATGCTTCAATATTATTTCTAGTACCTTATCAGTTGAGAACGTACTTTTTCCAGACGTCTTCTCGATCTAGATGAGAAGACGAGGAATGCTGATGCTGAACTACGATATGCTGCAGAGCAACATCGACGCCTTGCTGATACCAATGCGCTCGATCTCGTCTTCAATATTTGGGTTGATCCGGCCGATGGGATTATTGGTAAGTGTCGTTGTATACGATATCCTATTTGTTTCGGTCGTCTTCCAATTTGTACCTGAACCTCGAGTATCTGTAGTGTTGTGCATTCGCGCACATTCAAGCTCTGGCACGCCCTTGTCCACGGACAAAAAGATAATCGCCTTGTAGCAGAAAAGAACAGCTTAGCCCTTAACCCTTTGCTTCAATAGCTTTACACAGTTACATTCTGCATCTTCGCTCTCTTTCCTAAAAAGTATCGAAATTATGTTAATCTCTCACGCACGGCTTGAAGGAATTCGTAACCAGCGCATTACAAAGCCCTGCAGTTCTTCATTCCATAGGTCAAGTCTAAGACTTTGATAGGTTACAAATTTTTTCATCAACTTTGTATGCCTTTATGAATGGGAGATGTGTTTCATTCCTGTAATACTGAAAGGAAGCTCCTCGAAAGGTTGATTTGTGGTCGTATCGATTTTATTGGCATGTTAAAAGTTCGTTTTGGGTATAAAAAATTTGGACAAACACTGAAAGGAATATCGCTTTCTAATTGCTTTCATAATAATACACCGTTCTTTGGATTAGAAATTTCCCTTACATTCAAATGTTTCACTTCTGTCCTGAATCCACGTCACCAAGTCCATACCATGAAGGTTTCAATTACCTGACTGCACCTGTCAGATGGCCGCTTTTCCTTCTATTTCTCTTTTCTTATATTGTTCTCTTTAAATTGTTGTTAAGCCTTAAGCCCCTCTTTAACTTTAAGTTTAAGTTAGCTTAAGGCCGGCTGGAGCAACTTTCTATTATGATTGAAAGTATGTATTCTTGTTTTCGTTCTCACCACCTGCTTAGGTTTTCCAAACTTAAAAACAAACGTTGGCACTTCTTGACCAGCTGAGTTGATAGAACTGTGAATACTTCAAGAAGTAAAAGCGAGAGTCTTTGAACGCTTTTTAAGGTCAAAAACCAATTTCGTCGATTTGCGCCGTCTCTTTCGCAGTCTCCTTGACCCTAATTTGACCTCCTTGGGGACGTCTTGTGTTTCAGCATTTCGTGACTGGTAATTTCCATGTTGTTCTTCGTAAACTAGGAGACCGTATCAATAGCTCTTTGGCGGCAATGCTGTCGCGCTATGAGCGATCACGTTCCATATCTTCTTTTATGTGAATTACAGGGGAGATAAACGGTTTTCGGCTTGGACGATTGCCAGATCGACTCGTCGATTGGCCGGAGATAAATGCCGCATGGGGACAGCTAGTTCTGCTACTGGATGTACGTGAAAGACAATTCTTTTTCAAAGTTTAGAGATACTTATAATTTCTTGTTCTTCCAGGTGTTGATGCATCGTGCCGGTGTTAAAAGTGACAATTTCAAACTGATCACGATGTGTAGCCACTCCTGTATACTGTACAAACGGCAAGTATTTATTTATTTATATCAAACGAGAATTTGAATTGAGTGGTCTTGAATTTTAGCTCCACAGGTGAGGAAGTAAGGTATCCCTTATTCGCGTCTGGTAGTTGGAAACCATTTGGGAATAACAATATGGACAGTGGAATCATGGCGTATCTACAGTGCTTCGAATTACTACGCGCTACACTGCAGGTAAGTAAGAGCTGTTTGCTTCAGTGTTCGCGATTTTTTTAAAAACATTTTTATATTTATCCTTCCTTCCTCCCAATTCCCTGATCTTTTTCCCTGGATGCTCACTGTCCTGTTCTCTTTTTACATTTTTTTTTGCATATATTGCTCGTAACTCAAATTGCCTTCTTAGTAATTGAGAGAATACGAGGGAATGGAAAGTTTAGCTCAGAAGAATTAACTTCCTCTTCATGTTCACTTTATGAATAGTAGTGTTCTTTTCTGAAACACTACCTAAAGCTTGCAATATGGACCAATGAAATTTCATCATATCGTGCGAATTTTGTTATCACTGATTGGGAGTGCATAGGATGAGTTTTTTCTGTCTTCTTTTTTTCTCTCGCGTCAAAACTTGCCGTTTTTCATAGCCTAAAGTGCAGAAAGAAGTATGTCTCAGGTTCTCGTAGCTCCTTCCTTCATCAAATTCGCCACAAAAAGGGATACGCTCAGTAAAGCAGTTTTTTCTCAAACCGGACCTATTCAACAAGGTGCCCGCCCTTTCCTTGAACAACCTCTCGGAAGCCCACAGCCCAACGCGCCCTCTTTTTCAATATAGTGTTGTCTGCTTCGAAGCGTAAGACCGTTTAGTGCTGTTCGAGCAACCAGCGGCATTTTTCCGGATCACTTGGATTTGACTATCGCTTATGATTTCTAATGATTTTTGTCTCTTGCTAATTTGGTGCACATACAAATTATTCCGTCATCGATTTCACTGGTGCCATTTTTCTGTCTACGCGCTTATTCATTCAACAGTAGACGTTAAATTTACCACATGCTCTATGCCGTTGGTCAACGAACTTCGTTGTTCATGCATGCTTTTAGTCCGCCCACGACAACTCATGATTTTCAAAAAAACTTTCCATTTTGTGAATTTTTTGTGAGATATGCGAGATTTTCTATGATTTGATGTGATCGAATAGGAGGATCAATAGGAGTGATATATGCAAGTGTTTCATAACCATATCTACAAATCAAAAATTGATACTATATGGAATCTGAACGGCTGAAAGGTTTTCCGATTGTTTAGGATCGTTATGAAGTCTGCCCGGATTTAAATTAAGTGGTTGAATTTTGAATCGTTATGTTGAGTGTATCTCCCTTCTCGAGTTCTCCACGACACGATTATTCAGTGCTGAGCAGCTCCACTATTTCGAAACCTCTCTCAGGTCCTCCAATTAGTCATGTTTTCTTGATCGCATGGTTTACTTACATGACCGCAGTGCTTGTTACAGTCCCTTTTGTGATGACTTTGTTTTAAAGCTTGTCAATACTAAATCATCTCCTTTGTTCTAAAATACACGGCTAGCTTAGCTATCACGGTTGGCAGAGTTTTTTCTCGTTTATTGAAATACAAAGGGTATTTTTATTCAAAGATGCTATGAGGACCGCTACGAAGTTTCAAACTCAGGATGAGTTTGAACGTCGGGTCGCAAAGATGTATGCTGATCAAGCTATCCATATCCTATTCTATAGCGCACTGCATGACCTGCGCTAAGTCCCTTTTGCAGAAAGTTCTTTTTTTTTTATGTGCCCCTCGTGAAGGTGCATCGGGTCCCATGTAAGATGTTAGCAAGCGAATCGAATTTAACATCCGGTTTTGGATGCATGTTTTGCGTAAGTAATAGAGCCGTGGAGAAACCGAAGAGGTCCTCTCGTCTAAACCTAAAGGAGGTCTAAGTCCAAGTAATAGGAAGCGATGGGCCCCTGCTCTAGGTCAACGTCTTTGGATCTAGGATTAAGGAAAAATCTAAAATATGTATACTATGTTTCCAAAAAGGAGATGATCTTGTTTATTCAGAGGGATAGGTATATTTATTATTAGTTGTTTTGGCGAAGGATTTATCAACAGTGTGAAGTGATGACGATGTTTACCACGCGTCAGCAGCGGCTTTCAGCCAAATGTTTCGTATGCACACGTGATTACCTCATCTCAACGCGGTTTTCCAATTTTTTTGGATGTTTTCCTATATCCAACATTGAGATGAACGTACAGGGTCAAGGCAGTGTTCTATGATCGCTCTGCCAAGTGGGCCGTCCATCAACCATCTTACATACCTACACAACTTACTCTCCTTCCCGCTCCTACGTATCATTGGGTATCCCGTTCTAATGTGACTGTTCATATCGTCGGCGTTTTCAACTGATGTTTTTGACCTCGAACATTACTCACCTGGGAGAGAAGAATAATAAACATTCGGTATAGGACGGCCGTAAAATTTGATTTCTTTCGTGTGGGTTTCGAAATGCACTCTGTGATAGAAGAAGATTCAAGGGACTCTTTTTTTCGTGGATTTCTCCAAGACCTCGACTCTCATTATCTTATCAATCCTTGTCTATCCAGAAGATTAGTATCATGCTCCTTGCCTCTGTTTCTACAATTTACTATTACCCTTTCGCCTATGTTTTTTGGAATTATATCTTTCTAATTTCTTGTTGTTCCCCTCCCAAACCTTTTTTTCGATGCTCATCTTTTTCACATCTTTGCTCCTGTTTTTCTTTTTATTCCCTTTGACTACATCTTTTTAATGCAGTTCTCAGATCGTATGGTAGATTCTTATCTTTCAGAAGCAAAATCCTTCCTTCGAAATACCACATCGTATCAGTAAGGATTGTCTTATTCACGGTACAATGGAGTATTCAGCAAAAATGCTTCTAAACAAGGAAGAACGCTGGACAAAAGCAATGAAACTCTTGTTAACCAATCTTCGTGCTGCTATGGTGCAAATAGCAGCACTTAAACCAAGCGGAATGTAACATTGATACGGTTAATTTTTTCCAGCGTAGTGTTTATTCCATTGACGGGTTCTTATCTTTGGTGATACCGCTGCAGTATTTCGTATATTGCTTTGTCTGCTTCTTTTGGTCATTGATCCACTCTAGTTATTGTCGTTCGACGTGATAGAATTTCGAAGAGTTTCCAGTCGAATGTTATCGTAGACTTTGTATACAGTTTGTCAACTTTATAGTGCCATGCTCAGTCACTTATTTTCCATTTTCTCATGTTGAGATGAAGATTTCGATTATTTTTGATTTTTGTTCTCTGATAATCGGTTGTATTCCGGTTAATTTCTTTTTTTCCTTTTCAGCGATCTTGTTGTTAACATTTTTATCTCGAGCTTTAAATATTTTCTCATCGATGGTATCCCATATGCGAATGAGAGTTGGAAAACAGCTGAAGAGCCGAGAAGCGATTACACTTGAGCGGTGTTGTTGTTTGCTTGAAATAATAACTTGTTTCCTAGATACTTGGAGTGCAAGTACAGTTTCAATTTGGATGACTAGATCGGAGAGAACGCGACGTCGCGGTCGCGTACGGCGTAGTAGCAGTAGCAGCAGTTGCGATTCCTGCAGCAGTGGCGATCGCCGCGTCGCCACTCGCATTCGTGCAGTTCTAGCAGCAACGTCGCCGAAGCAAACACTCAAGGAACATGACGAATTTTTGGTGAGTTTCTCGGCGAAATAGTTCGATTTTTGCATATTTTGGTGCTCTAAATAGTTTGGAAATGGAAATACTCGGACTTGCAATTACTTGTGATCATTAGCTTTTTTAGAAAGGTACACCGTTGCCGTTAGTGACAGCAGCTTTAAAAACCTGTTTCTTATGGTATTTTTTGGGGCTCGTAACCAGTCACTATGGATTCTGGTAAACCAATTTCTAGCGTCATCTATCTGTCTGATTTAAAAGGTTCTAGGTTTTAAGAAGGTCGAGGAATAAAAAGAAGGTTAACAAGACCATAATTCCTCCCACTTAGAAAAGTTTGTTGACATCGAAGTCTGAAAGTTCCTATTTTGTCATCGAGGGGATCAAAGGCTTCGAACAACCGCTGTTAGAATTATATCGAAACCGGTGTTCTCTGTGCCCTCAATTAAACGTGATCCTCACTTTGACGGGCATCATTTGTCCACTATGTTTTCTCTCACAATCTCTCTCATTGCATTCATTCATAACCATCAACATCACCAACTATCCTAATATCACATTAAAGTTCGGGTTTTCTTTATTGTTTGGATTTCTGGTAAATCGGTCATAGGAAACCAGATCATGCAAAATTCAAAGCATTACCATCATCATTCTTGAGATGCAATTGAAATGTTCTTTCAAGAAACTTGTCCCGTGAAATTATGTTTGCGAAGCAATTGCGTCGTTGTTACCAACACATTCGAGAAAATCGCGGAAATTATTTGGAATTGCTGAAACTGTCTTGAAATATCGTAAAGCTAAGTTGAAATGAAAAAGTTAAGGGTAGGGTTAACTGATTTACGTTATGCCTATTGAATTTTTCAGCTTTTCAAGGCTATCTCATCCGGTTTCTTCATTCTCGTCTCTTATGGGCTCTCTTTGCTTCTAATTTCACATTTTTCCTGTCATTTCGCGACTGTTTGGAGGTTCTCTCCTTTGGGTTTAATAGGTGCTGATGGAGGGGACATTTTCTGCAGAAGTGATATACTACAGTTATCCTTCACTTCATTGTAATAGGTATTATAGTCAGGGAGATCTTCCCCTGCCTAGTTGGCATAATCGGGCGCCAACCAGAAACGTCTTTGGAACGCAGCAGACCACCAGGTAATTACGTCATGTCTCTTGAACGTGGTAGTTTTTTGACGCCCTTCCCGACACGGTGTAAGGTATTCGCAAGCAGAACAAGTATTCATCTCTAATCGTTCAAAACCGTTTCTAAAGAGTTCCTGCTTCGGGAAGTGTATATTCTCTCTCATTCAGTTCGCGTTCTTTTCCAGCGAAACACATTTGGTTATTGATTCAAATGTTTCTTCTCAGTAGGGCTGCTTCACACTTTCCGTTTCACTCCAATAAGTGAATATGGAAGTTGTGTATGCTTAAAATCAAACTGAAGTGATTGCATGCTAACAGGACCGATTGGGGTCTGGGGTTAATTGTAGCTCTTGCAGTTGGTTTTTGCTACTTTTGCTGGTTTCATCTGTTGTTTACTTTTGACATTCTTACTAGATGCCTTGCTTCGACCTTTTTCTTGCTAAAGAGTGTGTTACTGTAATGCTCAGGGAATGGGCCTAAGCTGCATTCATTCGATATTCATATTTCACGGCCTCCTGCCAACCTTTTCAACGATTAGGGCGTTATCGTCTTCTTGCTTACCAACTAATACAGAGCATCTAAGTCTGACTGGGCCTTTTCGTATGTTAAAGACAATCACGTACGTCCATAATCATTAAAGCAATTTTTGTATCGTGTAGACATGAGCATAGCAAGCCTCCTCGTCAGTTGTCATCTCATTGTGAAAAGCTAAACTCTGTTGTTCGGGTCTTGCCTTAAGGTGCATGTACTTTTGTTATTCTTTGTTATCCGGTCCCCCACCACTTACCTGTACCTATTGCACAAGTTTTTGAGGGGGCAGTTAGATGTGGCAGATGATAGCTGTAGGAACTGCAGATCGGAAAGGCTCTTTTGCTGATAGACGCTGTAACAGGGTATGAGTGAAGTCATTTTACTGAGAGGGTTTACGGTGAGACATCATAGGTAAAAGTTAGTGCAACCACTGTGGTACAAAAACAGCTGTGTTGTTTTGTAAAATGTGACGATGTGGTGATTCATTTGAGTCTCACAGGATACGATCTGCATCCAGATTTTGGTCACATTCATCCTATTGTTTTAATGGAAATTATGCATACGTTTCAACATTCTCTAACTACTTGGAAAGTCGCTCAACCTTCCTTAGAAAAGAGTTTTACGTCGTTTTATTGCTGTGATGAAATAACCATTGCGTCAGTTTTTCTTTTCGAATTGATTTCCATGATTGCCTGTTGTCATTTATCCTTATCATTTCTTACTTTCAAGGCTAAACACAATCTGTTCACCGGAGGGCAGAGGAATTTTATGCTGTTTTTTGTGATTTGTAGCCACCGTTATGACTATGTTTACTCTTTGATTCATGATGCACAGAGGACTGTAGGGAAAGGGTTGGAGCAGTAAAAATAGATGGCGTAAGGAAACTTCCTGATGGTGTGCTGGTGGTGATGCTAGGGGTCTTTACATCATTCACTACCTCAGCTGAGAACGACTTCCTCCTTTACTATATTGTGACCATTGGAGACTCGATAACTTTGCATTTTACTTCACATAGAAAATGGGGTAGCATCAGGATGCCTGAGAATTCTTTCCAGTGTCATCTCCACAGCTCTTTTTTTGTCCGGCTTCATGTAAGGTGTTAAGGATGTGGAAAGTCGACTGGTACATTAGTTCTATCGCAGTATTTTTCTTCAGTCATATCAATTTGTCTTTGAAGTTCAAAGATCGCCAGTGTATGGTGTATCCGTATTTGCCCGCCCTGTGTAAAAGTTAGCACCGAAGCGTGCCAATTTTTGATTTCGATAAAAAGGGTGTCCCCGTAGCACTGTGTGCTCTCAAAACTGTGCATTGCGTGGCAACAATATAGCGAAGTTGTGTTTTTAGTGCAGAATTGATGTAGCGCTGAAGGCGGAGACACCGCGCTGGCGGCCAGAGGGCGCCGACCGGTTTTCCCCCTGATTACATATTTCGCAATGCCCAGTCGAACGAACTCTCATCACCTGAACGATGCTATTTTCCCTGGCTACTCGCTATTTACCACTACATTTTGAGAAATGCTTGCTTGTACTGTATAACTACGGACAGCTACGTATAGGAAAAGGCTTATGGCGTGTTATTTCCGCTAATTTCAGCAGAAAAAGTATCTGAATGGACTTTTTCGGCCGTTTTTCCGTTGAGAAGTTGGTCTTAGTGAGGTTTAGTAAAAGTTTGGTCTTCAAAGACTTAAGCGCATTAAGCAGTCGTTGAAGATTTGATGCGCTTAGTCAGTAAGAACCACGCCTTTACCAAATTCATCGAAATTCCTTGAGCTTCTAGCGTTTCCCTACACCAGCCCACAATTGAACAATTAAAACTCATGCTGACAATGAGTAAAGTCTAAATCAAATAGCTTCTTTCAATTTTCGTGCCACATTTTCCTGTCAAATATGGGGAAGGACCTTTGTCGAGATGGATCACTAAAAAGTAGCCTGATAGGAGATGTAGCCTGCTAACAGCTAACCATAAGTGCATGTCACCATTTAGCCTCGGTTATTATAGCGATGCAGAATGATATGGCTTCCAGTCCCCGAGTTCTTAGGTTTGGTACAGTCTTCTGTTGAAGATGCGTTTCTTAATGGTTCTTACCGATTCATAACAACTTTTTCACAATCCACTGGTAACGTGATTTTTCCGAACGTCCGTCTGGCGAAAGACCTTGGCGACCACATGACGCTCTCGTCGCTACTCAGTAATCTTTCGAGTGGTTTCGACCTAGTTTGCATCTGTTTGAGTTTGCGACATGATCAGTGATCTTTTGACAACTCTTTTTTTTACAAGTTGTGGAAGATTTATTTTATCCCCTGGAAGCATTTCAACTAATGACGAGAAACTTGAAAACTTTTGGTATTTCTCGTAGGTAGGCCAGTTGAGAGAGCGGATGGGTGGGAAGTGGAACGGGTTAGGAGCGGAGAGGGAAGCTGGGAAGGTCGTATATAATGGTAATTAAGGAAAGGACTTCAAGTCTAGAAAATAACTTTTCGCAGTACGCAGTAGTTTTTGCTAATGTGAAAGGTAGCAATTCTTCATTGACTTTCTCGTATAAAACTGGGTTATGGCGATGAACGAATGATTCTCGCCTCTCGTTGCAGACTATTTTTCAACTACTTTTCTGCACCTGATGGCACATTTAGGAAGCAAATCGTATAACAACATTGAAAGAAAAGTGGAGGAGGAGAGAAGTTCCAGCGGCCTTAGTCATTCTATTTATAAGCGTATCATAGAGGGTGATGGGGCATTTTCATGATGAACGTTTCTTCATTTAGACTTTGGGAGGGTTTTAGGGATGGAGTTCCATCAGGTAAACGGGAATGAATAGCACTGCACTGTACTAGTTTACTCATGTGTAATGCCACGGCCCCTCAAAAGTACAGGTTGTGATGGTTGATGTTCTTCTACATAGCAATAAATGGTGTATCTGTACGTTTTAATGGAAACGATATGGCCTTCAACTTCTTATTTCTGCATTTTCTCATAAAAGTCCTAGGAACGCGTCCCTCTTGCTGTTTCCATTTTTGACTTATCATCTATGACCGCTCATTCGTTTTTAATGCCTTTCTCATCCAAATGACTCCAATCTTGATTTCCTTCGTGCACAAATCGTAGATCGCTTCTTCTTGTCTTATAACTCTTCCCATGTTATGCTTTCGATCCTCACATTCGGGCACCTAAAAGCAGTTTGAAAGTGGAGTGACTTCTATTTGTTACCTGTAAGGTCTTCAATTTGAAAAGACGGCCGAATACATTGAATCATTCTTTTTTCTCCAGCTGTGCATTCTTCCATTCACATACCCGCAGGAATTATTTCACAGGGAAGAAAATACCTATTTGTTATTCCGCAAAGCCAGACACTTTTGTGGTTTATGTGCCCAGACCTTTTTGTGCTTTGATGTGCAGATGTGGGTGTGGTGCAGGTGTGTTTATGCAGAGGTACGAAATCGTCTCCTGCACTTTTGCTTTGAACTCTTCTTCTCTTTGTTACCCAGGCAATTTGCTATCAGATGGTCTGAGGGTCGTTCCATTCATTAGCGAAGTAGCAACTGACAAGACCCCTTTCTCGCTTGTGATTGGTTGGCACTTGGTCCTGCCTGGCACGTCCACAGGAAGGGACGGTAGGTCCCCCTTGCTCTCCGCTGCCTCAGCGTGAAGTTTTGCAATTCAGCTGCACTTTGATAAATTAAAGTAAAAAGCCAGTTGTGCATAAGTAACGATATATCATGCAGCGAAGTTTTTTTCTGGACACAGAACAATCACAAATTTGATATTGGCGATGGAAGAGGCATCATATCTCGTCAAAGTTTTGTAAATAAAGTATGAAAAAGCGGGCGGGTCAGTTCTTCTTTTGTGCACTAAGATCTAGCGTAACGTGCTGAAACTATCTCTTAATTGATGTATCCACTATCGTATCGTGAATCGATGGTAAAGAAGTGATTTATCACTATAATTTTTTGTAAGAATATGCCTATTTGCTTTACTACTTTCAGTTTCCATCATTCTGGTTTTTCGCATTTGCTTCGTCGCTGGTTCTTGCTCCAGCGTCCATCACAAGGAAGACGGCTTTTGATTCATCCAGTGATTACGGTAAGAGTTATGAGGTTTCAAATGAACAGTATCCTTGACATCCTCAAACTGTTTTCGAGAGAGGTCCTCTTGAGATGAAGTTTGTGTTTGGTGCTTCCCTGCGATTACTGTAGCATTGTGGTTACCGATTGTCAACTGGTCTGGTGCCTTTTTTGTGCACCGGAAATATGTACACTGTATGTAGACTGACTGTTTGCATAGCTGTTATTTCGTAGCGACGTGACAACTGGGGAAGTCGACCTGGTCAAACATTACTTCCATTCCTTCACGGTTGAAGCTTCATTTTGGCGGCGCGGTTTTTGGTTCTTTCCTTCTCCCTTCACTTTCAATCTTCATCTTTTTCGTTTTTGGGGTGTTAAGGTCTCTCCCACACTCTGTAGCCATCTGCTCGGCACCGAAACGTTTCATAACCTTTCCCCATAATCGTTATCAGCACTTATCAGCTGCGTTTCGAGAAAAGCCGCTCTCGTTGCAGGTAACCTGCCCAATGGTGTTTCGTTGAGAATGGTTCTTCTATTTCACCTGCAGACAATCGTTTTCAGCTGCTAGTACTTTTCCTTTAGGAGTTAGTGTTGCAGTTCATCGGAACCCTTTCCCATATTCGAACGATTACAGTACCGATCACTTTTTTATGTCGCCCATTCTTGGTCGGGAGTATCGTCCCTTAAATCGTGCTTGGGTTAAGGGAAGAATTCGAATAGAGGTGATCGACAAGCACCAGAGCGATTGAAAATGACATATCTTGCGGTCTCTTGTTTTTTGTTTTGTTAGTCCGTGATTAAGGCGTTCATACTGTGTTTTTCTAAAGAACTTTATTTGTTAAAGAAATGCTCTCATTTTATCAATGGAAATTTTATCACATGTCAAAGTATACGTATTCAGATATTTCTTCAATCATGTACGGCAGTTTGAGTGAATTTGACGACATCGGCTTCATAAAAACAAGACCTATCGGAGTCAGGTATGTGAAATCTGTCTGCATTCTGTTCCGGATCTACGGACTTTAGTTTTGTTTATTTTAGTTTCTAAAAATTCTCATGTGTGCTAGAGATTGCTTTTCTCTTTCAGCAATCCTTGTTAACAACCTACCTTTTTTCAGATGGAGAGACGAGGCGACTTTGGCGCGCATTGCTTACAACTACACAGAACGAATGGATTATGGCGAGGTAGGACTGCTTTTTTTTGGTTTTTGTGCAGATGGTATAGTTAACGTTTGAAAGTCTTAAATGTTAGGCAGAACTCGTGGATTTGGTCAGTAATCACGTAAATCCATTCAGAAAATTAGCATCCTTTTCATTGTTAAGGGGTGCGAAAATCGAGTAGCTACCATATGGTGAATGACCTTTGTCAATCATGGAAGACCTCCAAGATGAGCTTACGCTCCTCTCACTTGGATTGATCACCTTTCAATCATATTCTAAATATATCGATTTATTCAGATGACGATGATGCCATTGGTGACAGAAAGACCGCGATCACATCTCGGTCGTGGGCCAGGACAGCTGGTACCAACCACATCGACAGCTCCACAGGCTCCATCTCAGGATGATCCATCGCTTGAGGTGAACATTACGCTAGAATCTTAGAGAAAGTGGAAGTGTTGCTAGCCCTGAGTGGCTTAGAGATTGGGATCGCCTCAGTCGATTTCCGTGATTCGCGAATTAATCTTGATGTCTCGCTGCACTTTTTTTTAATGGAAATCCTGTTCTTGTATTGTTTTTGTCCCGCATTTTCAGTACTTGGGTGGGAGCGCGTGGAGATAGCAATTTGCGATATGTAGCAAATCCTTAAATTGCAGTCCCATTCGTCTGGCTTCTCCCATTAGCAAATCTGTATCCGTCTGAATTTCACTTCTCGTATTTCTTTTTTGCTCCACTCTTTTGACTGCACGAGTTCTACTATAGTTACCAACCTTTTGTGATTCACAATGGTTGAGCGTGTGACCTTAAAAATTCGTAGTCAAACGCCAGAATACTCAAAGTGTCGATTTAGACTTTGACACTAGTTCTCTCAGATCAAAGACAGAAATTACCGGTTAAATATTCACTTAAATGGATTACCACTAAACTTTGTTCTTCCTCTCTAGGATCTTGAACTGATTGACGTTCTTTGGCGTAACGATATTGCTGCTGAAAAAGGTGCGAGACAGCTGCAGCCAGCTGATCAGTACGAGCTCGATCTGCAGTTGCTCACTGAAAAGAGCATTCATGCTGTGAGTTCTGTTTTTAATTTTTCAAAAATTCGAATTTGACAAAAAAAANAAAAAAAATCAAATAGGGCCTCGATAGTAAATGGCTACACCAAGTTGGAGAATAAATAAAGGAAAAAGTGCAATCATTCCAGACCCCTTTGTCTAGGTTAGTTCGAATACGGCTTATTTCTGGTTGAATGGGTCGGCTAGTTTTTATCTAACATAGTGCAATTAGCCCCAGGCCCCAGTGTGCCTCGAATAAGACTTCTTTCTGGTTGGTTGGGTTGGATAGCTTTTATTCATCTGCCCCTTTTATCAGAACTCTCGTTCACTATTGAAAGAATTCCGTCTCTTGCAATTTGGAAATGTTTATTTTGATGTTTTTCTATCTGTACCTGGTGTTTGGTGTCGGAAAAAGTAAAGTACAGTCTGTTGTCGTTGTTCTATGAACGAGTTTTGGTTTCAATTTTGAGAGTCTTGTCAAAGAAGGACAGCCGCTAGCAATATTCGTTCGACGAGTTCGAGTGTTGTTTCCTGTAATCAAGTGCAAAATCTCATTTCGGGAAACAGGTTCCCTTGCAAACGTTCTAGTCCTTTTTCACTTTTTTTGCTGTTGAGGCGGATTAGGGAAGAAAACGACGGCTAAAGTACTGTTCACTTGATTCTGGTCATTAATCGTTGGAACCAAAGTGAGGTAGTGGTCAGTAGACGCTGCGGAATTTTCACTCGCGAAGCGATTTCCCACAGAGCTATCCTAGGCAAATATCGTGATAACTAACCCTCTTCGAAAGATCTTTCACACCATGAAGTCGTCCACTCCCTTACTGAAGAGGGAGAGAGAGGGGGTGAGGCTCGAGTTACACATTCGTACCTAAATACGATTCAAGCGGAATTCGAATTCGTGCCATATCAAGCTGATCAAAGGCAAAACTTGAAATTCGGAACCGTTTTGTTTCTCGTAACAGTGTAGCTGCAAGTGATAATCCGAGTGATTTTTTTNTTTTTTTCTGATTTTAATAACAACTGATTATTGCAAATGTTTCAGCCATTGTCCGCTGAGGAGTCATCTCGCTTTGAAGATCTCTCCAAAGTTTATTTCGAAGACTTCTACGCGGTACCGTACGTGTTACGACCAGGCTCAAAGGGCCAGCCTCAACCACCATCTCGTTCGGATCAGCTGTTCGGCTTCGAAGACGATCTCACAGCAAAACGGGAATTGTCCACGCCAACAGACGTCAGTTAAATCGCTCCCACGACTCAAGTTTTTAGAAAGACCAGTGAAGAATTAGCGGCTGATTTCAGGAGGATCTAGCTGAGTTGTTGGAGGACGTGTCTAAGGAAGGAGGCCAGCTTGATAGACTCACATGTGGTGTAGGAACGTGCCCACCACCTGATTTGGAACCATTACCACTAGTGAATAACGTCAGTCTCTCGGAGGGTATCGTATTCACAGCACAAAACAGTTGGGTTTTCACATTTTGAGGAATTGATGGCTTATCTAAAGCCTGAGCTTTTCAGTATCGGAGATGTCAATGATGCAAGAGCAGCGTCAAGATGCGATGGCATCGATCCTAACGCCACCAGCGCCAGTGACTCTGTACAATGAGACATCGATGCCAAATATGTGGATGCAGCAAGCCGAAATGACTCCCAACGATAGTGAGGTCTAATCAGATTGCAAAGAGCGATTAGAGGGTTTTTAAGCTCACGCGATAGGTTCTTTGATTCGGTGTTAAGGTTCAAAAGTCAGGCGCATGGTTGATAGCTTACCCTGATATCAGAAACGGCGATAAGACAGTCACTCGATACACGTCATTTCATTCTGATGTGACGTTTTCGATTGTAGAGGCATCCCTCAGGTTTGCAAGTACCGGGTGGGCCGTTACTTGTGCGAGATGGGTAAGTGAGGGGCCATCCGCCTCACAGGAGTGCAACAATGGTGGATTGTGGGTGGGCTTCACTCGAAGAGTGGGTAGGACTTTAGTTAATTGGCAAATGGCGTTGAGGCCCTAAATTCTGGAGTAGCAAGATTGATTGCTCTGATTAGGTAGATCAGCTTTGGGAATTGATAAGCGATGAGACCTAAAATATTGAGCGGTACGAGCTCATACCAAAAAGGGTTTTTCGAATCAAAACATTACTGGTCCGAACACTGCCGGTATTCTTTCAGTTTATCCCAATAATGGCTATATGTCCTTCCAAAATGATACTGGAGTACCGGTGGTGTCCACAGGAAGCCAATATGATCATCAATATCACATCAGCGTTCAGAGCAATCGTCGCGACGAGGTTACATTTTATAGAGGCTACTTTTTTGTTGTTCTTCTGATTCATCGCTTTCATTAATCACTCGACCCACCAACTTTCCATTTGTTTTCGAAGATTACCATTTGGAATGGGTTTCTTCTGATTAAAACTTTCTTTTCAAAAACAAGATTCAGCCGGAGGTGTCGTTCTGTCATATAGTCACTGCTTTTGAGCTTCAAGTTTGAATCTGATTTACATGGGATTCTTTTGTTTCCTCATTATTTGTTTGAAGTTTTCAGTAAATTATTTTTTTGTTACAGAATAGGGTTGGTCAGTCCTTATATGACCCATACTACTCGGCAAGGACAACGTCATTCAGCAAGTGAGCATTGAAAACCTTTATTTATAATTCTTAATTACCAAGTCTCTACTTTTAGCGAGTCGTCATCCGTGTGTTCGTCATCCTCGACGGCTGCTTCTCCACATTACCATAGCGAGGCTGAAAACTACAGTCCGCATGCAAGCAGGTAACAACCAAAGTTTTACTGCTTTTTCTTTTTTTCTAACTTGTTGACGTTGTATTATATACTACATCACAGGTTTCTATTTTCTTGTTTCAGATATTATGGCAAATTAGCACCAAGAGAGGTTGAAGAAACAAATTTGTATTCGCGATCCGTTTGTGGGTGAGTTTTAGATGCAATGGCCATTTTGGCCATATGATTTAGATGCTTATACATACGATCGATGGTCATATTTGGTGGTACTCATTCTTTGTTTGGTGCACGCTACTCATTCCACTGGTACTCAATATACCATTTGCTTCCAGATCAAATGGTGATAATGCTATTACTGCCACTGCTGGTCTACCAAGTGTGCCACGACGTCGTGGACGTCAGTCGAAGGACGAACAGCTGGCTGCTGCTAACCGTCTACCGCTGTCGGCTCGTGAAATATCCGAGATGACTCTCGGAGAGCTTCACAAGGTGCTGAAAAACGAGAGCCTTACGGAGCATCAAAAGCAGCTCATTCGCAAGATTCGCAGGCGAGGTCGGTTTCTGAGAGGTGTTTGATGGATGTCGTCATTGTTACTTATGAAGTAGTGGTCATGTGATTGTTTAAAGGAAAGAACAAGGTGGCTGCACGTACATGCCGTGAACGTCGCGGTGAACGCCAGCGATCCACGAATGCAGTGGAAACATCGTGGAATGTACCGGTGAGTGCTGTGCTGAGCTTAGATCAACTTGTTCCCACTTTGTGAATTTCTCCTTCGAATCCCTACTGCAATTTATAGCCCATTGGTTCCCATCGGAGATGGGAATCGCTCTCTGACATTCGAGTCAGCTCTTTTCTAATGAACATTAGTTGATCGAGTTGAGAGCGCAGGAGTTCTATGAAAACTGAGTTAAGTCATGAGATTAGCTGACCGTAGTTTCCTCATGTAGAGTGAAGATGACTGCTAATCAGGGATTCATCTGGAGACTTGGCTTGAATCCATCATCGCAAAGTACATTTGATTGCTTATTTGCTTAATTGGCTGTATTGCGGAGCCAGTAGATTCAGAAACCGTAACGCCACTTGATCTGTCAGGCAAATACAAAAAAAGCATTGCCTCCACCTAACGCAACACCTCCACCTCACTCACTTTTTTTTGTTGTCATTTTCTTTGTATTCAGCAGTTTACAAACAGAAACATTCCAGACACATCCACCTGAGCCACCACATCAGATTCACCTCTAAATACCAGGAAATCCATTTCGGCACCTCAGCAATTTGGAACGTTTTTCTTTATCTCATTGTACACGAATTTTTTTGTGAAGTGTTATATCCACCAGATGCCTTTTTTATAATCAAATTATGTTTGTGGCTAAGAAAATTACTAGAAAACGACAAGAACATCGTATTGTTTTCTAAAATGTTTTTTGACCCAAGCAATTTATCAAAGCTGGTCTTATCTAGTATTTTCGTTCATTTTTGTGCGATAGAAGTTGTTGTGGGCGCCTGTTTAATGTTTTCGTGGCGATAATCATTTTCCTTTACCTCTACATGTTTACCCGATTTCAGTGGTATCCCTCAAGAATTAATTGAATTGTAGTTGGTAGGATTTGAAAACATATATTTGTAGAATTCATTATATTATTTATCCGGTTGGAAATATTGTAATTGTATTGGCCGCGTAAGCAAGCGTTCTGTGTTAGTTGTCTTGCAGTTCTTTTTCCTATTTTTAATTGTTTTCATTCGAAAACTTTTCTCCTCTTACGGTCATCGACACTATTTGTGTACGTTATAATGGGCAATGACGACTGTGTTGCGTAGCGTAGTGAAGCGGGTATTTTTAATAATACACCAAAAAGTGCTTAACCTTTTTAGTGTACCAGGAATGTCAACTGTTTTTTTTTTGCAGTGAATTTACATTTATTTACACATTGAAGTGTTCATTTCTTATTTGGTGTCCTCCAATTAATTTTGTTCTCATATATTGATCAGATAATATATTACTCTCGTAGAAATGAAGTGTTGTGGATGTATAGTATGAAAAGTTAGAAAATTTGTTTTGTTCAAATATTAACTCAAAGCTGTTCATGGAGGCGATAATGGAAATTCTCAGTCTCCTCCTTTTTTGAATTTTCAAAAATCCGATGACATTTTTTACCCAAAAATTACCTGTGGATCGTTAGGTTCATTTAGAGGTTGACGGAATGGTATCATACTATCTGTGGTGGTTACTTTCAAAGAGATATCTCGGGAGGTTTTTACCAATTTCAAATGAAATTCCTTCTTTCTTTGTCCAGACTAAAAAGTCGATGTGAGAAAGATGTCGATCCATCTTACACACTTCACTGATTCCATTGATAGCTCCAGAGGTGGCATCCTCTCGGGCCGTATGCCCCACTCTTGAAGTTTGTAGGATCTGTCCACGTAATGCTCATCACGCAGCGACGGAGCAGAGGGAAGCGTGAGAGTGACCATGTGCAGGTGCTGAGAGCATGATTCTTCTGAATCCACGATGTCGTAGTCATACCAGCGTGACACGTCCTTCCAATACGCTGAGGCTGTTCGTCCATGACACCTAGAAACCCCGATAATTCCTGCCGTAAGTGTGCTACTACCCCAAGGGTGCGGACGCATTTCATTTGGTCATGCTTGTGCAAGAAAAAGGCATGTTCCAAGTTCATCGATGATAGATGCCTTGGATAGGTGCTACATTACGGCCATCCTAAGTGCTACATCAGTTGGAAAGAAAAGGGTAGCAGCCAAGGGGTGAGGTTACTGGTTAGGTCACCACTGATCGCCTCTAATTCATATACCTGTTACTTAATTGACTCAGCAATCAGGCTTATACTAATTTTTCAACCTCTCTCCCCATGAAGGAACCACGATTGCGGTCATCGTTCGAAACAATAACCTGGGATGCCCGAAGAAAAGAAAAACCTCTGGAACGGTTACGTGGGAAAGTTTGACAAATGCAATTGCCCAAGGTCGACTCAGTTCAAATGGCGCCGAGGCGGGAATCGCGTTGGAGCGTGATTTCTCGAAATTCATTTTGTAGTCATCACAGTTTCACCATGTTTGTCCAAGAGTATTACATTGTTTTCTTATTTTTGCCCTCCTATCTTGATTTTACTGTTCACTGATTATTTTTCTGTCCGAGGTCTTATCGTTCCCAATATTCTCGAGGTGTCTCTTCAATCGTAATTCCTTTTCGGAATCGTATTTCGTATTTCGATTTGAAAATTGTTAAATCTCTAAAGCTGCAGAGATGGATGGGAACGTCCAACAAGTGACGCTGGCACTTCAGGGAACACTTCAGCTTGATCCCAATGTAAGGAAGCAAGCTGAGGCTCGTATCTGGGAATTTGAAAAAGTCTCGGGTAATTTTAAATATCACTTTTTCAAATCTTTTTGCTTGATTTTTAGCGTATGAAGAAAGTTCTAAAAATATCTTCATCTAAAAGTTACGGTAGTATTGAACAATTTCCTCCAGGTTTTGCAACACTGCTTCTACAATTGGTTTGTTCCGAAGAGGCTGTGGCTGAGATCCGCATGGCAGCCGCTGTCGCTCTGAAAAACTTCATAAGGAAGAATTGGGTGGGTAATGGATACCTTTTCATCCCAAATTGCTTAGAATGACATTCATGGCACCCGTATCCGGTGCTGAAAAGAGAATAGAAGAACAGAGCCCGATGAGGGCTCAGAAATTCCATTTGGGTTGCTCCATCATTACAGATCATCTCAGCAGCTCGTGAGCTCTAATGAACCTACTTGACTTCCAAATTAAAATATATTTTAAGAGGAAGCCTTATTGTTTTCAGCACCCTTTTCATCTTTTTATGCTCTTATACTGCATTCACATTTAATAGAGAGGTCTTTTTGTCGCTGGTTTCTGGACTTGGTTTGTTCAGGGCGAGACACCTGAGATTGATATGACACCCGAAGAAGAAGAACAAATTCGTCAGTCTGTTTTGCAAGGAATGTTTCTCATTCGAGGTACTCTTCAGGGTCAGCTAGCTCATGCTGTACAACTCATGGCCAAGGTAACATCCTAAGCTAAGTTTTAAGAGTTTCGTTTTCCATAAAGCGACGCGGTTTTTAACAGCTTCTCAAGCGTTATTTTACCGTACCGAAGTCAAACAGGCTGCATCCTTTAATGTTGAGCTTCCCAATTTCATATGATTGCGATTGCGACTACAACGAGGCTTTCAATATTCTTGTTTTGCTTTAAGCGCGATTTTCCCGACCGTTGGCCTACGTTAGTTCCTTCACTCGCGGAGCATCTGAAAGTAGACGATCTCGGCCGTCTCGTGGCAGCTCTTTCAGCTATGGATCAGCTTTTCAAAAAATTTCGTTATGAAAGCAAATCCACAGCCTTATGGACGGAACTGAAGTCATGCTTGTTAACGGTATGTTGTGCCAAGCATACTTCGCGGTCTCTTCCTTGGTCATCCACTAACATTTCAGGTACAAGAACCATTGACGCAAGTTTATGCGAAAATGATCGAGTTCATCCCTCAACGATCAACGATGTCATCGGAATCGCTCGTCCAGTGGCTTGAAATATTATGTTTTGTATGTAAAGTGTTTCACTCATTGTGCTTTCAAGATCTCCCAGAATACTTCGAGGTGTGTTTTGTATTGGTAATTTTGGTACCGTTTCTTTTTGGAAGTGTCGCTTTATGTTCATTTTTGAGTTCAAATGATGAATCACGTCGATTCAGGACAATCTCAAACCATGGGTTGAAGGCTTCCTCGAAATCATGAAGATGGACTGTCCTGGAATCTCTTCAAGCGCTGGGGAGCCTACTTTCCTTGATGAGTTGAAGGTCAGTTGAAGACCATAGCAATAGTTTCGCTACCTGTTATTATTTATTGAACTCGCATTGTGATTTTGAAATATGCTTCTATTGGCTCTTTTTGATATTTTTCACTTTTAGTTGGAAGTTTGTGAGATATTCACTCTGTATGCTCAACGCTTCGAGGAAGAGATCAATCCATTCATGCAGAACATCATACAAGCAGTATGGCAGCTTGTTGTACAAACCGGAAATGAGACCAGGTATACCAGACGATCAATCGATTCAATTTCTTCATTGACTTATTCCATTTTGGCTAACTCTGACACTTTCCTTTTTTGTTGCCTGGGTGTTTGTTCAACAATTTCAGAATTACTGCTAGCCTCAAAGTTTTTTGTTATCTTTTCAAAAGGCACTAAAATCACTAATTTTAAACGAATTTTTCAGCTAGAAACGTGAGTTGCAGATATAGTGGGAGTGTGTTATTTAAAGATTGAGAATTTGGGGCTTATGTAGCTAATGTGCTGTAGCGCAGCAAAATTTCCATGCGTCTCAATCGCAATACATAGATGTCTACATGCTACAATTACATTCCAGTAGGTGCGACAAATATTCAGTAGCTTCGCAGTTTGAATGCTGATCCTTGAATAACTACGTGTAAGCCCCACATATTCAACCTGGATTTTGCAAAGTATGAATGGCAATTACTTCTCAGATTCGATGGCATGGTCTGTGCTGCTTTGGAATTTTTATCGATCATCTGTCAAAAGAGTCACTACGAAAGCTACTTTGTTGGAGAGGGAGTTCTGCAAACAATAGCCCGTGAGTTCTCACATTGCTTCCATGGCCTTTTACAAGACTGTTTACTTGTTCGGGATTTCAGAGGATGTGTGCGTGAAGAACCTTCATCTGAGGCAGGAAGACCTGGAAATGTTTGAAGATGAGCCTATCGAATATATGAAAAAGGATATTGAAGGTAGTTGCATGCTGACATCGTTGTGTTCCATTGTGCGCGATGATGATAGCCTGGTCGATAATATTTAGGAACGGATACACTGACTCGTCGCCGTGGTGCAATAGATCTCGTACGTGCCTTATGTCGGAAATTTGAAGAGCGCTTGGTACCAGTGCTTGCTCAGGTATTATCTCTGGCAGTTTTTCCACTTCCTTATTTGAAAATCTGGATCATATTTCAGTTGGTCCAATCACTCTGTTCCGATGGTGATTGGACAAAGCTGGATGTGGTCTACTGTTTGGTTACTGCAATTGCATCGAAAACCGAAACAGCAAAAAGTGGAGTGACGAGTACAAGTCAACTGGTTAGATTTTGTTGCCTCTCTAGTAACTTCATATGGTCTTTGACTCTGCCCACCGTTTTCATCTGTGCAGAGGTCTTAGGACACTGAAATTTGCTCAGAAAAAACCTCTCCAGATCAATGTTGCTGACTACTATGCGGGTCAAGTTCGAGGTCATCTCTCAACAAATACTGACGATATGCCAATCCTCAAAGCCGATGCTCTTAGGTACGTATGTCTTTCATAGAGCTTTGAAGTTTTTGTGATATGAGCATAAGATACTTTCTTCAGATTCGTCGTAACATTCCGCAATCAACTTCCCGCTGAAATACTTGTTGAAGTGATCCAAGCAGCAGACCGTCTACTGACGTCACGTTTCACTATATTACACAAATATGCGGCATACGCCATTGACAAGCTGTTATTGGTGAAAGAACAAAACAGTACGGTCAGTTTGAAATATAGTCGAGCGCCCGATAATGGTTTTGTAGTAACTTTTGAGCGGGTGTGCTTGATAGTTCTTGAAACGTTTCAAGGTTCTATGAGTACTCCTCTTGTTGATTTTTCCAGATATTTTGTATTTATATACGAATGTTATTACAGACTCCCTTGTTAACGGCAAGAGTGGTACCCGTCGGGTCCCTCCTCAACAATCTTGTCGCTGGATTCGATAAGGACCCTAAGGCGCAAAACTCTCCTTACCTCATAAAGGCTATACTTCGATGTGTAGCCATTCTTGATGTAGGTTTCCAAACCTTTTTTTTCATCATTCCTTCTTATTCACATTTTTTATAGGAAGAGACGGCGCGCCACGGGCAACAAATTGCGTCGAAACTTTCGTCCTTGGTGGCAGCAGCGACAAAGAGTCCTGCTGATGCAGTTCACACACATTTCTTGTTTGAGACTATGTGTGTGCTCATCAAGAAGGTACTGCTGTTGTTTATTTATGTGTTTATTTTTAGAAAAGCATCTTGAACGTGATTTACCTCTTTCAAATGCTACAGACATTGCTGTTTTCTTTACAGACAGAAAGCTTACCACAAGGCAATCTGGACGCTGAGCTAATGCCACTAATCGAAACGATTCTCAGTCAAGACATTGCTGATCTCATACCTTACGCTCTACAGATCACAGGTATTTGTCGTTTGCGCTGCGGCATGAGCATCTTTTTCCAAGTGGGATACGTTTAGGTGTGCTTCTTTCGTCGTCGCTTACGCGCTCGCAAACGGTTGATCAAAAATATATCTCGTTCCTTCCATATCTCCTTTCCACAGAGCTATGGGCACGATCTGCAAATGTACCAGCGGCGTTGACTGTTGTAGAAGTAAGTTGCTTCGTGAGCAGGTCTTGGCTGGAGAAATTCATTTGTCAAGTTGTCGTCAGGAAAAATCATGTTGTTTCAGACTTTTTTGAAACACTGCCCCGACTTGGTAATGCGAGAGCACGGTGCCTTAGTGATGCAACATTTTTCAAGGTATCTGCTTTTTTTCTCCTCCTATCCCTCTTTTTAATCATCGTATCGTTTCACATCTTTTTCAGACTCGTGGGATCGAAATCGCTTGATCAATACGGCTTCCAAATGGCTAATGCTATACTTCCAGTTGTCGAGGTAGACTTCGTTTCTCTGCAAGAGTCGAAGGCTGAAGTTTGCTTCGTTGAGAACGCCTCATTTTCGCAATATTTTTAGATGGTCCAGGGCGTTGAAAATCCAATGACAGTCTTATTGAACAATATGTTCCGGCGTGTACAATTTAGCAAAACACCCAAGTTCATGAAGCATTTTGTTGTGTTCTTGTGCCGATTTGCAGTTGTACGAGGAGCTGAACATCTTGCCAAGGTTCGTAAATTTTCTCATCCATCTTTGCTTTTCTAATACGATTTTCTGTTCTTATACATCACGCCGTTTCGCTGCCTCGTATTTTTCCAAGTATTTTTCACCTTTTATTCCCATTCATCTTCCTAAAGCCTAAGAGTGTGTAAGTTAGAACCTTTCCTTCAAAGCATTTTGGTAGAGTTTTTGTAGATGAAATAAAAGAAGTATTTTGATGGAAAAGTAGTGATGCTTACCTTCTCTAGAATGGATTCCGGGTTTTCAGTAGATATATTTCAAGTGATCATCTACTCCCTATCAAGAAATTTATCTTTTCTCTTCATTAGATAGAGTCTTCTGCGCATAATAACCGTGTTCACTCAATTAAATCTGGGTTGTTCCAGTCAGTGGAAGCCATTCAAACGGGTATGTTCCGCATGTTGTTGGAAAAGGTCATTGTCGCCGAGTTGGCGAATCTACAGAACATGACAACATTGGATGACAAACGAACGATAGCTATCGGCGTAGCGAATATGTTGGCCGATGCGACAAACTACGTGGGGCGAGTTTTTGATAATATTTGAGTAAGCTCGATATTTTATCATCTTCGCAATGTTGAGCAGCTCCTGGAAAATCTCCTTTTCAAGATGATTCATTCGGTTCTAATCTGTTAATATTCTAGTGACCAGTATGGTCCTCTGGCAATTGGAACGGCTCAGTTAATTGAAGCGCCTTCAGCATCCGATCGACCTCTCCTTTCGCCGGAGGAAGAGCAGGTTAGTAGCTATTCTTTTAAAAAGCAAGGGAACCGAGGTTTGGCTCTCTGCTACTTAATCCATCATATTTTTGATTCGGTATTTTGGGTGGCGAGTGGAGAAAATGTCAGACATTTTCTGATCGTTTTGCATACTTTTATATCCTACTTCTTCTTACCCATATAATTCGAAGAAGTTTAGGCGTCAATGTACAATGCCGAAGGAGAATTCACGAATCCGTATTGCCGACTGAGTTATGCGCCACGAGCGGATCCTCTTGTTCCAGAAATCACCAATTACAAAAGTAAGCTCATTTTGCCCTTGCTTTTATCTTTTTTGACTCAATTCTTTAAGCTATTTCAAACTGCGTTTGCTTTTCCATTTATCTGAGCTGTTGCTCATATTCAGATTATCTTGCGCGAGCCGTTCTTCAACGTGGCCCTGCAGCGAATTCCGCCGTCGAGGCTTGCATTCCAGCCGAATTGCGAACTCATTTGTTGGCATACGCTTCTTAATTGCGGATAAATTACTCTGTGTTCTGAAAACTGCGCATCTACGACCGTACGGTGAAGGCTGTCCCGGCTATGTAATCTCAAATGTGACCATTTTACATTTTTTTCGAAATTGATTCAAAGCACCACACTCACAGTGATGAATCGAAGGTTTGACTTTGTAAATACTGATAGAGTTCTTGTAAGCCTGTTTAGTGCTGATAGTCAAGAGTCGTCTATGAAGTGGTAGTTGGAGATGACTGGATTTGTATAACAGCAGATTTTGAAAGGAGCTGATGCGTTTTTTTTTTTTGATAAGTTGAGTTTTGACAACCAAACGTCTAAGTAGACGCTCTGTTGTTGTCTTTGTCGTTGTGTTTCGTCTGACAGCCGGCTCCTTCCAGATACGTTAGAACCCTTGCTCAGCGTAACCAACTTACAGACATAATGTCTTTATTTAGGATGTTCTCCTTTTTGGCTTGTTTATTTCCATGAGCTGATGCGGGCTGACTTCTTTTGTTTCTTATAGAATATCGAGTTTCATTCGCTTGTATCCTGCTGCTACTTATAGGTAGCGCGGAAGTTTACATTTTATATATTGTGTTCTTATAACTTCAGAGTTTCAGTGAAAGTAAGGTTCCAAAATGTACTTGTTAGCTTATAAAATTCGAATGAAGCATGTTTGAAAATAAAGTATTTTTGCTCTTTGATTCAACTTATCAGGGGTCATTTGGCCCGATTAGATGCATGTAAGGAGGTTTTAGTTATTTCGCAACTTCGAAGATCTTAAAAGTGGTTCCGAAATCTGCTCTCATGGAGTAAGTTTTTTAGTTTTTAGTATGCGACAAGTCGGGAGTGTTTCGTGAAGAAAATGATTAACGAAAAAATGGTGACCATCAGTTGTATGATTGCCAACCTTTGTGGAGGCCGAGTTTGTCCGAAGCACACTGTTCCCACCGAGAGTGGCTGAAGTGGAAATTTGGATGTGCTAGGCAAAACATCGTTTTCCGAGGTAGGCACAACATTTCAGAGTTTTGTTCAAAAAAAAATGGTGCAACTGCTAGAAGCGATGTGTTGCACCTGCCAGGCACTTCCTTGTTGACACATGGGTAGTACTGTTTAACCAAGAGATTGTGCAATCGGTAGGTAGTATGAACGTCATCATGCTCTCATATAATTCTTTACTTTATTTGATTTTGTTCAAAACAATGAAGATGCATTGTCTCATTTATCGAATTTTCTTTGTAAGTAATGTCGAATTGTTTCAATTAGATATCCTCCTGTAAGCATCATATAAGTCTGTGAAATTTCTCAGAATTTTGAAAAACAGTTAACACAGGCGAAGAGTTTTAGGAATTAATATCTGAGTTGATGAAGACGAAAAATGCTGAGCCACCTTGTTACCCTGACCAATAATCGAGATCTAATCCTTACTCGAGCCACCCGAGCCCTTTATTCATCTGC